GTCGCGCGCGCGCGCGGAGTCCGTCCGGTCCGCGGAGAGGGCCCTCGAGCCCCTCTGCGCGGGCAACGACGCCTTCCGCGGGTCGAAGGCCGGCGACCACCGCCGGGAGCGCGCGCGCGCCGGCCGCCGCGACGCGCTCGACGCCCGACGCCGAGCCCGAGCCGCGCGGCCCGACCCGGCGCCGTCGGGGGCGCGCGACGCGCCGGAGGCACTCGCCGGGTCGCGCCCGAGGCCCCCGGCCGCCCGGGCCCGCGCGCGGGCCCCGCGCGCGCCGCCGAACGCGACCGCCTGTCGGCCGCCGAGACAGCCGTTGCGCTTCGGCCCCGCGCGCGCGCCGCGGAGCGCCCAAGACCGCGAATCGCCGGCGACGGCGCCCATATATATCGGGGATGGGGTGCGAAGCGGTCTAGGCACGCCACGCGACCTTCAGGGCCAGCGGCGGGGCCCGCGGCGGCCTGTGCCGACGCTGTGGCTCAGCCACAACGCTCGGGCGCGCCGTGCGATCTCCGGTCCGAGAGAAGTGGTTAGGACCCGCCGGCTCTTTATCCGCACCCAGCGGCCAAATTATCGCCAATCCATGGTGTTGCTCACTGCGGAACCGGCCATCGGGGTGTCCTGGAGCGGCGGCGACGTGGTCGTGACGTCGGCGAGCCGCGTCGTCGTCTTCGCGCAGGAGGCGTCGGGCGCCTGGGCTCCGGCGCGGCGGTGGGCGGCGCCCGGCGGGAGCGCCTTCGCCGCCGCCGCGGTGGTCCAGCGGCGCGCGCGCTGCGTCGTGTGCGCCACGGACGCCGGGTCCGTGGTCTGGGCGCCCCTCGGCGCCGAGGTCGCCTGGGCCGAGGTCGCCGCGGCGCGCGGCGCCTGCGTCGGTCTCTTCGCGTCGCTGCCGGCGGCCGGCCTCGAGGACGTCGCCGCGGCCGCGCTGGCCGACGGGCGCGTCGTCGGATTCCGGCCCGGCGCGGGCGGCGCCGTGGCCTTCCGCGTCCCCGCGGCGCGCGCGCCCGTGTCCTGGGCCGGCGCCGCGGCGCGCGCGGCGCGCCA